TCTTCTAATAAATATCAAAAAATCGGCTGAATACATTCGAAAACGGTAAAACTCAACTGTTTAACTCTGGGGAAGTGGTAAAATGAGCCTATTTCCCCAAAAACAAAAAAAGTGGAGTATCCCTTTAATAGAAAAATACATTTGTTCATGTGCTAACACACACAGTGACCTGGCCGCCGTTCTGGAAAAGGAACGGCTCAAAATCCCACTGAAGGACTAGTATCTGTGAATACGGATCCTGAATTGGCCGCAGAAAGAGTCCCAACTCCACACTAACAAATTATTGTGGTCTAAACCAGGTGTTTCCGTTTCATTCTCCAACCTCTGTATATAATTCACTGAAAAAAATAAATAAATCAAGCTGTAACTTTTTATTGCCCAGCTGTACAGCTTTACAGGGGTCAATAAACAGCAGAAGAGGCACAGGAGGGGGTCATATCAGAGATGGCCCATCAGGCCTGACCTTCATGTGGCTTCACACATCTCTCTGATGTCTGTCTCTCACTGCTGCTCTATCAGCCTGAAAGACTTCATAAAGGAATAAAGATCTATTATTCATTCAATCGGCCGAACCATACAAAATCAGACAATGACATTAACAAAACACACTAGATCATGTCTGTTTGTTATTGTACATATTCCTGTACACTTGTCTTTGGGGGAGGGGAGAAGAAATCATTCAGAATGTAGTACAGAGACTATTTTTGGCCATAAACCATAAATGTATTAAACATAAATTATTTTGCAACCTACTTTCCCTTCTGTTTCCCCGGACAGAACTGAAATATTGAATTGTGGTCACGTATATATGGGACTCTGAAAATCCCCTCATTTCACATCAATATTTCACTCTCCATCTATTCTTATGACGATAAAAGAATATCAGATTTAACCTTAAATGTAAACTTCATTTCAGTATAGACAAAAGACATCATTACACAGATCACATGTGCATCACTAACAATGTTCAAAGCTTTCAAAGAGTCCTTTCGTTTTTAAAGAGTGCATGTGAAGCCAGCTTTGAAGAAAATACAGATACACCTTTGCGACAAACACTGTATAATAACCCAAATGGCTGCTCAACACAGTTAAGGACTAAGTTTAAACACTGAGGAGGCCTGCAGACACCGCCCTGCCAAAATTACGGATACTACAGCGACGCCTGAGCTCATGAATATTAATTTACCCTGCCGACGCGCGGATGCGTCCACTCACGTGACCTCATTAATATTTACAATCCACGCATTCGTTACAGTAGAATTCGCTCATTCGTCGGCTGTCTTCGCCTTTCAGCCAATCAGCGGCGAGCGTCACCTTACGTACTTAATATTCATGATACACCAATTCTTCACAGTCAGACAAAAAAAAAAAAGAGAAGAAGGAACTAGAAACACGAAGCGCCGCTCACGCTAGCTAGACAGGAAGGAAATTAGCTTTAATTATATTCAGAGGGTTTCTTTTGTTAATGAAGTCAGCCATGAGTCTCTAAAAAAGCACAAGCCAGGGTTGTGTGCGCAAATGCTCCCTAACATTTAATCTGTGCTCAGGCAAAGATTGTGTTAATCTCCACCTCGCATATTTACTAAGCGTCAGATTCAGGTGGATTTAACACCCGCTGCCAGCCGCGATTTAATTAACCGGGATTTACACAGGAAAAACAAAAAAAGAAAAGAAAATCATGATGATGATCAACGTTTTTCTGCCAGTATTTATTTGTTTAACAACCAACAGAATATTATATTAGTTGCAGATTATGCCTAAGGAAAAAATATAGATAGAATTAGCTGTTTATATACATCAAGTTGCATCAGTGATCAAGGAAGTTCCTCCTCATGCTAGCAAGCTAATGCTACTAATCGAACATTATTTCCAACGTTAGGAAGTTTTAAATAAATAAATAAAAGTTCATAGTGCTTTCAATCAGACTCCTAACATCATTGACAAATCACGATTTCATGCAATAAAACAGTGGATTGTGTTAAAGTTTATATCGGCAGTAGAAAACTGAATATTTTCTGAATTTTCCCTTCGACTTCTTGGCTGAAGTCAATATCTAATATCACAACACAGTTTTAATATGATTTTAAATCATCTCGCCGGTTATTTTATGAATATGTCTCGATGATTTCAAAAGACGAACTAAACTGCAACTTCCCCGAGCACAATATCAGAAAACATGCTGTCACGACTATTTAGGGAAACACAATCACAGAGTTTAATCTCTAGATGGCTCTATTTTGTATGAAAAACGCGAAATGCTCGTTAACTTTGATGTTCCGCTACAGGCTTTTCGGACAACGCCTGATGACCAATTCAGACAAAACTGGGTTATCAAAACGAAACCGGAGAACACAAAACCCTCCAGTCTGACCCGTGACATTAAATGCGTGCTTAATTTCGCATTGACCATCTTTATAAAGGGCCGTGGATGTAGTTTGTGGAGCAGGAAGGAAATGCATGTTTCAACTTGCTGTCTTCTGTCAACCTGCCGTTGCTACCGAGCTACGAAAGATGCAAAACTACCGGGAAAAAACCGTCAACGCAAGCGAAAACGCTGTCGTGTCCCTTTCTGAGAGTGTTATATGAGATCATCGCTGTGTTTTTGTTGTGAAAACTTACCGTGGACCTGCGGGTACTGCGAGTTTATAGGTTAGAGAAAGCTTCCCTGACTTCTCAATGGCGCGATGAGGGAGCGGCGGCGATGCCAGCCAGGGCGACACACTTCCGGGAATTCCGTCACGCGCCTGACGCTTTCTGCGCATGCGCAAAGACGCGCTCGTTCTTTTCGAGCTCAAAAAACACGAAACAAAGTGGTGGGGATAATCTCCACGAATTCAATACAATAGCAGCCTATTTTTAAAGGTGTCGCGTTGTAGTTTATGTATGCATTTAAATGTTTTCTGTGTCATCTATCTAATAACGCTATTATATTAACGTACAGACGTAAATATTACTGATCTGCTCACTGGCGCGTTCGAATCGCTGCTTCGTGAAGAATCGAATCGTTTGTGAAGATTCGAATCCTTTGTTTTTAACCTGTGGCCCTGTCCCAATATCCGCACTTGCGCCCTTGTGCCCCTCAATGCGCGTTCTCACTAAGGGGTGCCGTAGGGTGTCCCAATCCTCTAAGTGTTCTCCAGGGGTGATCAAAAGGGCACTTAATGCACCCTTTTTGTAAGTGCGCATCAGACCTCACTTTGCTATAGGATATTACCCAGAATCCTTGTAGGGGAGAACGGTTGCTATGGTGCTGTTCGGGAGCGGAAACTCCGAAGATAAAGGATGCCGGTGTGGTGAAGAATTTTTCAAAAATATTTGTGTTATTGGGTCACGAAATGTAGTTTTAACAGTTTTTCAGTCAAGAATATAGTTGTTTAAAGCTCAAATCTGTGGTTTATTTATAAAAATAGCGCCTATTTAAAAAAAATGATCTGACGTTCGGAGTTCCAGGTAGTCACAGGGCGGCAGGTGCGCAGCGCTCATGTACCCCGCCTGCAACAGCCTTGCCCCGGCTAGTCATTCTTGCGTTTCCCGCGGGCTCTGTGTCTAGTGGTTAAACATGAGCTATAAATCGGCTTGTGTACATCAGACGGGCGATCTTTGGTCTCATTATTCTATGATTTGTTCCCTGGAAAATCGTTTTGGCTGAGGGGAAAAGTGAAGTTTCATAACTATATTTAGGCTATTTAACTGTAACGTTAAAACGTATGTTTGACTGAATCTTTTAACTTGCCTTATTTGTTGACTTATATAGCTTCTTATACTTATACTACTTATACTTTTTAAGCTTACTTTAATAATGGCTATTCCTGGTCAATAAAATAAAAAGAGACATTTTATAGTCCTTTTATTTTATACAGCCTATATGTTAGACTATTTTAATCTATAGCCTATACAAAATAAATCACCAACACGTCATGTTTTTTTTTTTTTTTTTTCATGTATGGGAATTTCATATATCAATTTCCATAATAACAATTAACATTGCATTTCGAATCTCTGTGAATATGGTAAGGCAGTATAAACTCAGGTAAACCTCAATCACATTTTATCTTAGCCAAAAACTGTTTTAATATTAATAGCATTAACAGAAAGGTTGCTGGCTAAGAGTTAAAAAAAAAAATAGCTTTTTGAGGTGTGCAAAACTGTCCCAATTCTGCTCTTCACAGCTTCGGGCCCTTGCGCTCTTTCTCCGCTAAGTGCACTTTCAACAAGTGTCCACTTCGAGGAAGGCCTTAGGGCTCAAGTGAGTATTGGGACAGGGCCTGTGATGCGCAACGCGAGTCAAATCAAACTGCCAAAGTCACGTGATCTGAATTAACACGGTTTTACGTCATATCCGTCTCGAAAATTCGCTAAGAGGCGATCTAAATTCTCAATAAAAAAAGAGCCGATCTGAAAGTTGTAAATACAAACCACCAGTGTCTGTTCTCGAATCAATTTTATGAATGTGTACACATTATGCAATGACACATTCGTTCAATAAAAAGTAGTAGCTAATGGTCTCTTATCTTCCATATTACCCAAGCTTTCCAACAAGGTACGACTTGATAAATACACATTTCATACTGGTATTAGATTGGTAGCAGTTCATTCATACATTACTCCTTGTAGCCAATCAGAAACCGGTATGTTTCTAGTTCTCACTTCACGAATGGCAGTTTCCGGAAAGGACATGTAACTGTAAAACTTATTAACCTGGTGTTAATCACAGCATTTATAAAAGACAAATGTTCTTAAGCCTTCTTGGCATTAGTTTGTGTAGTAACTGACATTTAGACCAAAACATTGTGGCTTTTAAAGGGGTTAAAATACTCATTACCTCTTACAAAAGCATTGTTACACTAATCAAAGGCAAAAGAGAGATGTAGACATCTAGTGGAAGGCAGGAGTAGTGTTTTTTTTTGTCAATTTATACACCTCAAAGCTGCATAAACTTGTGATTGACTAGTGTTCGCAACTCTATTGAGATTGTGCACAAGCAGAAAGCAGAGACATCATGTGGTTACTAAATACTGCAGGTTTTTTTATTTCAATGATCTACACAAGGATGGTTAAAGATAAGAACATCCCATAAAATCCTACAGTCCAACCAGGTTCTCAGAAAAAAAAAAAAAGTTGAACAAAAATAAAACAAAATAGGTAAAAAACAAGCATTTTAAAAGGAGAAAGTCTGTTACACATTTAAATCACTTCTGAAGACGTGTAAAACATCCGGCATGTTCAAAGCTATAACAACGACGACCACTCTTCCCATGTCGGAACAGCGGGGAACGCAGCTTGAGGGGCTAGCATTTAGCTGGTATCCATCTGTCAGAGGAGCAAAGAGAGTAAAAGGAGATTAGTACCAGATGAGACAAAGGCACATTTTACAGAGCCAACTTCACTTCGGCACTCTATTGGGCCTGGAATGCTCTTGAATTTGATGACGTCACTTTGTAGGACAACTCAGTAGCTAGCGGCGCATGGGTTCCCTGGATCGAAAAGCTATAGATTTTCCCCATAGACTTTGAGGAGAGAGAGAAAAAAAAAAAAAAAAAAAAACTAAGATCTGTGTTCAAAGAGTTGTGACCCTTACACATTTTGTCTATCAGGATAATCTTTACAAGTCAATCATAAACTTAGATTTTGAAGCCTATGTAAACGTAAAAAAACAAAACAAAGTTAAATAGTGTGTTTTACGTCATAGATTAAAACGTGAAAATATTTAGAGGCTTTGTTCACCACAGACCTTATTTCAGGCGATTTAGCAAAAACCCATTCAAAAATCCCATAGACTTCAGAGCAAGGGAAACGGTAGTGCTAAAATGCTAACTCACGTCCGCGTTTTGACCTGCAAAGTGACGTGATAACTTCGGCACTCTGTGGGGACACATTTGTAATGTCCAACAACAAACGCTAAGGTACCATCGTGGTAGTTTCATGCACATGTAAAGATCATGGAAACGTACAACAAAGTAACTCACACGGGAAATGCTAAACGCAATGTATGAATAACGTAAATCAAGCTAGTTAGCATATAGTGCTGGGCGGTATACCAGTTCATACCGAAAACCGGCTTAATTTTGGGAAGAAAAAAAAAAGTTACACGTTTTTGATCAAACCGCACAGCACTCTTAGCATAGACCGGAGAGGATATGACATTTGTACCAGAAAACTTCTTGCACAAAGTAAATTTAAAGCGCTTCACAGGGCCAAATTTTCAAGCTTTCAAGGACCCGTGGGAACCCTGAATTTAAAAGCCTCTCTGAACACACCCTGGCATTGTAGGCATCTAGCTGGGCGTCGAGCTCTTCCGCGGAGAGCTGCTGTTTGCTGCCGCCGCCACGACCCCCTCGCCCACGACCTCTGGATCCTCCGCCGCCTCCACGTCCCCCACGACCTTTCTGTGCGTTGAAGCTTCCGATTCGGTTTCTGTTCATGCCGCCGCCGCCTCCACGGTTGAGACTGTTGGGAAGGAGAGAAGAAATTCAGTCACAGGGAACACTAGCAAATACAAGGCAAGAGACTAAACCCTTGGTTTACCATCCTTACCCCTGCATCGGAGTCCGCCTCTGTGCGTCAATCTGTGATGTAACAAGCTGGATGTTCATTGGGCGACCTAAAAGAGAGAGAGAGAGAACACATAACTGAAATTGCTGCAAAACTCAGTCAGTCGAACAGGCTTTCAAGAATTCCCGATAAACTTAAAGTGACAAAGAACAAACTTTGTGATGTCAGAGAAAAATCACCAAACCAAAATGTTTGTAGTTTGTATACAGTTACCAGAAGCCAGTGATTAAGGTTTACAAAGCTGTAAATTCGGATTCTTACACTGGGTTACTTTAATGGATGCACTTTTTGGGGCTTCAAAATCTAAGGTACCATTCACTCCCATCATAAAGCTTGGAAGAGCCAGGACATTTAATATAACTATTATACCATTTAATAAACTGTTAAGCCATTAGGGGTGCACGATATTGACAAAAATGTGATATTGCGATATCGATAATGAATATTGCGATATCGATATTAATTTCGATATTTTTAAACGGATGAAAAAATACAAAAGATTTATTTCAACTGACAGTCATATTGGACTGGTACAGCATTAATAAATAGGTCTAAATAATATGTCAACAGAACAGGACATGTTACAGTAGTTGTGTACACTACACTGTAAAAGATAATAAATAAATAGCAAGTCTACAGAACACACCATGCAACATAAACCCCACTATATGCGTTTTCTTTGACCGAATAGCTATCTGATCGTGAAAAGACCAGGTGTAAATGCCCTGTAAAACGCATTAGTGACGTATTTGAATCTAATCGCTCAAACCACTTCAGGAGGCGGTCTGGGCCGCATTTCAGTTGAAACTGGACAAATGTAAATGCATCTCGTTATTGAATAAACAACATATGTAAAATGTACTCCTTCCAAAAACGCTAAAAATGAGAACGTTACAGGCTTGTCATGTTATGGCCAGATATGACGACGAGTGCGACTGCAACACGCATCACCGCAGATGAGCAGCTGTTGAACATTTCCTTTTCATCAAGCCAACGCGCAAACTATCGCAAATCAAAGTGAAAGTAAGTCGCAGACGCTTTTCACAGTTATCTTCATTAAAAGTAAATAAACGAACTGATCTTATTTTACCTGATGATCATAAAACGCAGCTCATAACTGTTGACGTGACGGTGACGTGCACTCCATTAAATCTGCATATAGCGCGGGAATTGAAGATCGTATTTTGATAAATCAGATAGCTATCCGATCAGTGAAAACGCATGAAGTTGCCAGGTGGACCGTGGCCTGATGTTTATAGGCTACTTGTGTGCGTCGAGCCGGGGCAAGTGTGTGTGGGACTGTGTGGTAGGAGAGCAAGGGAGAAGTGAGAGAGTGACGGCGGTTAGCTTTGGAGCGAGTAGCGACTTTATATTGAGAAAAACAAAGTGTCCCTCCTGTTCTTTCTGACCACTGTGGGAAATCTGTAGCATGAAAAGTTAAACCTCTCTTGATTTAATATTGTTTATGGAGAAGGAGAATCAGAAAATGAGTCGGGGGGGGGGGGGGGGGAATGCAACGGTGCATGTCGGACCAGACGCATCATAAACAAAATATTGCATAAATATCGCGACACTTTCGATATGGATATCGAGCAACGTGATATCGCGATAACGATATTGATTCGATATATCGTGCACCCCTATAAGCCATACACTTAGGATAGCGAGTAAATTATGGGACCATTTTTGAGTGACCCATCCCTTTAACTGTCGTTTTCTCCCCTGTCATTTGTGCATGTTTATTTGTTATTGAGGGGAAAGTGCACAGCATTTACATACATTTGAACGCCGCTCTCAGCAGTGCGGACGGCATCAGGGTGTTCGCTAACAGCATAAGCAAAGGTATTTCAAACTTCACCCCAAAGCGAAGAACAAAACTTAGCAAGTATATCAGGGCTTAGCTGTGAAAAGGTACCGAGGGAGCTTGTAGGATGCACACTTACCGTCAAGGGGAACGCCGTTGTACTGCTTCATGGCTTTCAGGGCGTCTGCTTTCCTCTCAAAGTGAACGTCCGCAGTGCCAAGGCTGCGCCCCGATCGATCGTAATGTACCGCTGCTTTCTTTAGAGTGCCGAATTCTGCAAAGAGCTCCTGTGGCAAAACAAAAACCACATAAGCTGCAGAAACAACCCAAATTCTCAAAGACTTTAACTCCTAGACTGACACCTACCTGGATGTCTGCGTCAGAGACGCCAAAGTCGAGATTGGACACGAGGAGTTTTCCTCCCGTCTCCACGCCCGCTCCGCCTCCACCGCCGCCCCCGCCAGCGCTCGCACTGTAGCCGTTGTCGAACAGGTCATGCTGCCACTTGTCTGGGAGCTGCTTGGGCTGCAACAGATGAGAGAGAACGCACCTGCTGACTTCGGGTCCCCAGTCTGTCACTGACAGTCCACTCGGCTGGGTGTTGGGGCAAGCAGGGGGCTCCGCTTCAACACGGCCAGGGACACCCAGTGCGCTTACTGCCATTTCCAGAAATCCCTGCCCACCCCATCACTACAAACAAGTAAACCATGCCAGCTCCGGAACAGTTCAAATCACGTTCTCTAACTCTACTGGATGGATGTGCAATTCACTCGATCTCAGTGGAGGCAAGCTTAACCCTCTGGTGCTCTGTCGTTGTTTTAGACCAAAATGAAATGGTTTTAAAAAAATTAAACCCTTGGTATATGGCTTGTGATCAAATGATGGGAAATGAAGGGAAACTAAACAAATTGAGGGGGTAAAACCAGCCACAATGTAGTCTGACAAGATCTATATTCGTTGAAAATCTCCAAATCCTAAGTACAATTGTCTGAATGCAACTAGGAAATACAGAGCATTATACTTTTAACAACTTACAGTAGCATTTTACATCCCTCGTGAAAACGAACCATGCTTTTTAGTTTTTATCATAATAAGTGAATAGTAATTATGCCTCGTCAGATGGATTACCATTACCAAGGGATATTCCATTTTTTTGGGAAATAGGCTCATTTTACCAATCCCCCAGAGTTAAACGGTTGAATTTCATTTTTTTCGAATCCATTCAGTCGATTTTCTGATACTTCGAAGAACATCAGTAACCAGACAGTTTCTGGTCTCATTGACTTCCATGGTATATTTTTTTCCTACTATGGAAGTCAATGGGACCAGAAACTGTCTGGTTACTGATATTCTTCGAAATATCAGAAATATCGGCTGAATGGATTCGAATACGGAAACTCAACTGTTTAACTCTAGGGAATTGGTAAAATGAGGCTATTTCCAAAAAAAAGTATAGTATCCCTTTCATACAAATACCATGGTTAAACTATGGTTAGTGTAGCAAAACCATTGTTGATTTGAATTTGCATTTTTAATAAAATGATGGTTATTTTTTAAGGGATGAAAATAAAATGGTGCATAACTTAAAGTAAAACCAAAAAAATAATTAAATCTTAATTTCACTTAAACAATTATGCTTATTGTTTTGACCGCTTATCATCAAAAGTAAAACCAGAGGGTTAATTTTAATAAATGTACATGCAATAACAGTTTACATGTGCAGCTTAACAACAAATGAACCCATCCTATTGTTTCAAACACCAGTAGCCTATTCCCTCAGTAACTTCCCCACCACCCCTTTGGTAGCAAAGCTAGCTACCAGCAACCCCAAGAGTCTCTTGCCGTTCATCCAAACGAATCCCAGCAGACCTCCGTCGTGTGGATGAGGACGATCCACGGGTCTCCGGTGAGGAGCAGCACAGTAAAGTCCAAAAACACGAGAAGGCGACCGAAAGTGTCCATGAAGGAGCGTCCATTTTGAGCCCACGCCATTTTGACGTGCTTGAATAAACAAAGCCCTCACTAAAGCTCAAACTAATCAATTAGAAGAGGTGAACCTCCATTAATTCCAGGACAAAGATGGCCAACGTCCGTTTATCCTGTACGTTATGGCTCCGGCACTATGTAACTTATCTTTCTGCTTTAAATGATTTTGACCGTGAAACCCCTCCCAAAAAAAACAAAGCCGAATTCCACCGAGGAGGAAAGGCCTTCTTTAAGCTGGGCTTTACTGCACATTGCACACAAAAAAGGGTAGAATCTTCAAACATCTGATTCTGAAGGAGGACCCCGTGAAGAAAGATGTCGACGAACACAAAGAAAGGTTAGGCTCAATGAAAGGCATCCGCCGTCCTCAAAATGGCGTCGATGGCGGCCTCCGGGTGGATGAACAGCCAGGAGAGACACACGCTTCTTCAAGACCCACGGTGTTTGAAGCTCACACGAAGGGCAAGAGAACTTAGGGAGAGAACACATTATGCACAATATATATCTAACGAGCTTCCCCGAACTACACTCCCAGAGAAGCTCCAGGGGCACGAGCTCGCCGCCATGTTTGCTGGCAGCCTAGAAAGATAAAAACTGGGGCTTCACCCACTGGCGTGTGGATGCGCCCGTGATTTTCTCCGCTTTCTCCTACCCTGCTGTACGGCGTAGGTCTGCTTCTTCCGCGGCTCAGGTTCTGGCGGTTCCTCATGGGGCCCGATCCTCCGCCGCGGCCTCCAAAGCCCCCGCCTGTATTTCCGAGCCGTCCGCCGGCGCCGCCTCCTCCTCGGCCGCCTGTTCCTCCGCGGCCCCCGCGGCCTCCTCTCCCGCCGCGCCCGCCTCCACGCTGCCGGTTTTGCTTTATGATGTCGTCTAAGGACATATCCATCTTGTCTGCCATCGCCTGGCCTTTGTTAACGCTAAACACTGAAGTCAACTAAAACAAAAAAAAACCCAGCACGTTTGTAGTACTACACTGCCCCTGCGTTACCGCTCACTAGAGAGAAAAGAAACACACGGACGTCCCCTCGCCGGGTGACGCATTTATAGCGGGAACGCTGATGACGTACATCTGCGTAACGAGCGCTTCCGGTTTAAATTCCTCACGGCAGGAACGCGCTGTTTATTATGGTTTAAATGTAGCGCAACAATACTGTTTTTTACAGTCTATGGACTGTAGGCTTTCTTTAAAAATGTTATGTTAGTGTGTATAGTTCAGTCATTTTATGAAAAAAGTTTGAATAAATTGCAACAGAAGCAAACTCAACTGATTTTGTATCCTCAATATGTCTTGAAAAAGCCCCGAAGAATCCCATTTGGGGAAAGTTTCGAAAAAGACCCAAATATAACCTATTCACGTGAATAGGGTAAACATGTGAACCTTTAGATATCACCATGAAAATTACTGAGTTAATTACTTGCATCAAGACAAACACAAAATGTATTACAAGTTTTGTTTGTTAACATGGGCAAACAGTGCATAATCTAAATACTTATGTGCTAATTTTGAATAAATATCACAACAGATCAAAACATTGGGTAGGTGAAGATGTCTTGCTAAATCGTGTTGACATATACAGTAAACTACTAAATGTTAAGGTCTGAATGGAACATAATTAGGCTACCCATCGAGTATTAGGCTAATACATAAAGGTAGGAAGAAGTACTTTAGAAACCGGCCTTAATTAATTATTATTGCAGAGATAGAGTTTGGGACTGTTTCTGGGGGACGAGTCTGAGGGAAGAACAGGAGAATGCTGAAGACAAAGTGTATAGGTTAAATAAAAAGTGTCTGTATGAGAAACAAAAGGAAGTCTTTCTGAGTGACATTTGAGTGAACCTTAATGATTGACTGAATCTCTTCCATCTTCACCTGGCCAATGTTTAGATCTGTTGTGTTATGCAAATTAGCACATACGTAATTGAATTATGCACCGTTTGACCATGTTAACAAACAATAAAAAGTATTAAAAAACTTGCTGTAATCAACTCAGAAATTGTCATGGTAATATCTAAAGGTTAAAATTTGACCCTGTTCACGTGAGTAAATCAACTCAGTAATATTCATGGTAATATCTAAAGGTTAAAATTTGACCTTATTCACTTGAGTAAAATGAATAGGCTATCTTTGGGTCTTTTTCAAAACTTTCCCCAAATGGGATTCTTCGGGGCTTTTTTTCTCTTACTCAGGACATATTGAGGATACCAATCAGTTTGAGTTTGCTTCTGTTGCAATTTGTTCTAGGTTGACCCCCATTTTGGCTTAAAATGACTGGACTAGTAAGAGTTTTTATTGTCTCACTGACTTTCAGGCGTTTTGGTTTTCGAGCTTTCCAATCTCGTCGAAATGTAAATAGCAACAGTAAGCCTCACTAATAAAATTACAGTTTTTATGAATGAGAATAACCCCAATATACATAGATATTATATATAGATGCAATTGAAATCAAGACCATTATAATATGATTTAATAGCAATGCAAGACTCAACGTTGTAGATTTTCTTCAAGATATTATAAGTTAGTGAGAGTTATGATTTTCACACTGACTTTCAGGTGTATTGCCTTTCGACCTTTCCAAACTAGAAATACATATTTTAATGTGAATATACTAATTGTAAGGCTCACAAAAATAGTTTTTTATGAATAAGACTACTATATACATAGACAAAAGCCTAAAATCAGTGGCATTATTGAATAACCTTTGTTCATTTTCCCTTAAATTGTTTATCCTCATCATGATTCATGTCTGAAACAACCAAATAAGAAACTAATTTAAATTTCTATACTAAAAATGAGTGTTTTTAATAAATGTGTAGTATGAAACACATAAACATACATAAGGGACTTGTGAAATGTTTAACAAGGGCGTTTGAGATCATATTATCTGCAGAATCACGATCACTTACCTGAACTGTTCTCACTTTTACAGTAGCCTCCAAAAAATCAAGATAATATAAATCACCAAACATTATGGCTTAATAAAACCTAGATCCTCCCTAAATGAGTCTTAAATGCAAACGGCTGGATTTCTAAAGAGTGTTTGCTTAGAGACACATTTGATCACGGCCATGAGCTGAAGATGTGTGTGAGAGGATTTACAAATCATTTCCAGAAAAGAAGGATAGCATATTTACAAACGCATTTATCTGCTAAACATTACAGATACAAAAAAAAAAAAACTCCAGGATATAAACACAATGCAGAGATGCTGACATAGCATAAAAGCAACCTTTATTTTCATTTTATTTTGAAGCCTGGGAAGGAAAGATGTGGAAAAGCCTACTTAAAAGTTCTTGGAGGAATCGCTGTATAGTTAAAAATGGCGGTACATCTACTAAAAATATTTGCCGAAGCCAAACATACCTGTCCTATCAGACAAAGCTTTCTACTTCTTCTAATCGATGGATCGATCTATGAATCTACTAACTCAACAGTCAGTCACTCCTCAGCGGGAGATGAAGATGGTTTAAAAAAAAAGGAGTAAATCCCAGGACTGCGTCCCATTCAGAGAAAGTTTGTGTAGAGTCGCTCCAACAGTTTAACAGTTCTGTGCCTTTCCCGTTTGTCATCTCACCATCAAAAAAAGTGCAAATGAAGAAGAATCTACACAAAACTCATGGAGAAAGAAAAAAGATCCGTCTGTTATTATCCCCATGTGCAAAAAAATATAATAAAAAGCAAGATCAGAGAGCCCGGATGAGCATGAAAAACAGGGAATGGCCGCTCAAACGGCTCTGAAACCGTGACTCATAAATAGACGTCAGCCTGTAAGTCCAGACCACGGGTCCACGAGGCAGAGAAGAGAGTTGGGCGGCCCGATATCCCGGCTCGTGGCTCTTTGTGGGCCGGCAGAAGACTGAGAGAGTAAAAAGGTCCCGAATGTAAAAGGGCGGACGAGGAACTGGAGAAGCAGGAAGAGAGGGAATGGTCTAAGACTTCTTGGAGTCTTGTGTGTTCCTCTTCTTAAGGTCACTCAGGTCCACTGGTATAAAAGCTGAGGGACACAATAGACGAGAAATGAAGCGGACACATTTAAAAACAAGCGCTTAAAGGAGTTACTCACCCCCATGTCATCCAAGATGTCCATGTCATTCTTTCTTCAGTCGAAAAGAAATTAAGGTTTTTGATGAAAACATTCCAGGATTTTTCTCCATATAATGGACTTCAATGGGAACCAAACGGTTCAAGGTCCAAAAGACAGTTTCAGTGCAAACTGCAAACTGTTCAAAGGGCTTTAAACGATTTCAGACGTTGAATAAACGAATGAACAAATCTTTTCCAGAGTCAACTTGTTCATTTCGTTCGTTGAATGAACCAAATGACTCGGAAAAAGATTTGTTCATTTTGATGAACGAGTTTAAAAAGGAGAGTCACGAACGCGCATCACAGAACAGAGCAAGGCGACCATTTGAGCTTATAAAACTTAAATATTGTTATTTATTTATTAAATGAGTGATCGTTTCACTTGATAAGACCCTTATTCATCATTTGGAATCGTTTAAAGCCCTTTGAACAGTTTGCACTGAAACTGTCTTTTGGACCTTGAACCGTTTGGACCCCATTGAAGTCCATTATATGGAGAAAAATCCTGGAATGTTTTCATCAAAAACCTTAATTTCTTTTCGACTGAAGAAAGAAAGACATGGACGTCTTGGATGACATGGGGGTGAGTAAATTATCAGCAAAAGTTTTTTTGTTTTTTAAAGTGAACTACACCTTTAACATTTTCTGAATAAATGGGAAAATCTACTTCTGGTGACAGAAATACAGAAATGAAAAAGACAGCCAAAATATCTGAATATTTGTTGAGGAATCTGACAATTTCACCTGAGATTTGGAGTCAAATTACAGGGGTTAAAATGGCAGGATCGTTGTTTTATTTTTACAGAGATTGGAAGGTCTATTGGTAAAACATGTTGACTTTAGCCATCTTCATTGTATGCCTGTAACTTACTATCCTTATATATTCTTAATAAACTTTCATTATTTAAAGGCCCCACATGATACAATCCCAGAGATATGGAGATCCTAATGCGGCAAATTGGTCAATAACACACACTTTAATGGTCAAAAACCAAATGTGGTTCACTTTGTTCTCTTTTAAAGAGGAATATCTGAACAACAAATAATGTTGAAACTAGAAATGCATCTCATGTTGTTTCTATATCAACACAATTGCATTGAACATACCTGTCCGAGTCCATAAATACTCCTTTTTCAAAGTTGTCATGCATGTCGCTCTAAAAGTGACCCACATTTGGTTTTTGACCAATGAATATGTGAACAATAGACGAATTTACTCATGGAGCCGCATTAAGATCTATATATCTCTGGGATTGTAGCATATATATCCTTAAAATGAGGATACCAAAAGGAAAAGTGTGTTAAAAACCAGAATTGACCTTAAAACATTCTTAAAGTGATCTAAACACAAGTTCGATGATGTTTTTGTTTTAAAAATAAACATTTTCCCTATTAATAAAATGGTATTTAACAAAAGAAAACTACCTTCGAAAACATCTTCGTTTGGAAAAGATAATAGCAGAAAGTAAAAATAGAATGGATGAATATAATAAAAAATGGAGTAATATTCTATGTATATTATAATTATATGAAATTTTGTAGTTTTTACGATCTTTTTCATATCATATTTATTCTTCTGTCGTAATATGTTTGTAAAGTGTGTCTATCTTTTCGCATGTATGTTCTGGGGTATGAATGTGAGGATGAATGTATAAGCATGTGGTTTCTGTCTGTAAAATGTATTTCTTATTAAAAAAAGAACCAGAATTTAAAAGGATATTAAGATATCCTTATTTATTACGTCTAGAGTCACAAGCAAAAAAACACAAGAAGTGCTTTTTGACATTTTTTAACTGTCACTGTTGGCATATAAAGAAACAAAGAGAGCTAAAGTCAACAGATTTAACTAATAGACCTTCCAATCTCTGTGTAAAAATAAAATAATGTCATTTCTAAAGTCATTTTTACCCACATGTAATCTACAAAAATACAAAACAGTGTATTTCTCAGCAAATGTACAGCCATTATATTTCATATTTTGGCTTAAATCACTACTTACGTTTGTCCGTCTTTAGAAAAATTGCGGAAGATTATGACATTTGGTTAATTTGACATGGAATCATAATAGCGAATGTTTAGTCTTGAGGAACGTTTACTTGAAAATAAACTTACAATGTAGGTTGGGATTTGGGTTTTTCTCCACATACTCCTGTGGTCCACGATCATTGCGTTCACTGTGTTGTGGGGATTTAATGTCTCTCAAAACACAAAGCCACGCTGGAGAGAAAACACACAAAAAAGAAGCATCACAACATTAATGCCTTGAAATCAAGAGCTCCTACACTTTTTAGACCGATTCGATTCATTTCAATGACTTGCACATGATAATGATTTTTAAAAACGAATCTGTTAAGACAAAGATCCATAAAGCAAAGCAGTGGTTCACAAACCTTTTTGTAGAGAAAAATATTTTACAGATTTGTTTTTTTTAAAGTTATAATTATAATTGAAAGCGAAACTGACAACGTTTTTCATGTTTAATATTGTAAAGCTGATTGTGTATAAAGTGCTATATGGGCTGTCACTAACTTTATTTTGCTAATCAAGTAATCGGTCGACTATTTTACCGATTAATAAATGAATTGGATATTTTTGTGGTAATAAAAATAGACCTCAGCAAAGACCTAAGCCTTTTAAAATGACTTCAAGTACAATATGTCAAAAGCAAGTGATTATATGGTTTCATAGATCAAATCCTCGTCTAATATTGGCTTAACGACATTTAATTCACATGTCCACTTAATCTTTAATATTTTGCGAAGAACAAAACTTTGACAAAGAACAGCAACTACAGCAAAAATGACATATTCCCATGCTTTTTACATATTTCATAGTTTCAGTGATACTCTCAGGTCTGGGAATCACACGTTTTCAAGGTGGAAATGGTGCTCAGCTAAAAAAGGTGTGTGTCGTGTCTTACTGTCATGAATGAAGCGCACATTTTCCTCGTGTGCTGGTGTGAAAAGTTCTCCTGTATTCGTTGGCGATCGAGGGCTGGACGTCCTCTTGTACGTGTGCATTCTAGGGGTGGAGGAGCTGGAGAACACACAAAAACATTGAATAATGCTTCATTATGACAAGATGCTTTATTACACTAGGAACTGTACTTATATACATACTAGTGTTTTTGTTTTTCACTTCCACTCATATATTTTGTGTAGTATTATTTAAAAAGTATTTTCCCCCAAGGTTTAGTGGTTACATTACAATGTACTAAAATCAGAAATGTCTTTCCTTTGTGTTTTCACAACGATCCATGAAAATGAATAGAATCACTGTATTATTGTGTAAATGTGTGTGTTGTTTGTAAATCGATGTCTGTATGTATTGTTATCGGATATGGGCCCATAGGTCTGAAATAAAGAGTAATAATAATTGATGCCAGGCTAGTAGATGGCATAGAGAGACACACGCAAATTCACATTGTAGTAGTTTACACAGAGTACTTTAGACAAGTATGGGTGTCGTTTTCAAAAACTTGCACTGTGAAACCAGTTTCAGGCTCCCAAAACTGCATTGTTGTGTAAATGAATGAACGGCCAAAACATTTATAAAGTAAACGGCCCCTAAGAAATGCAGAGCGTGTCAAGATGTTTAACTGAAACCGGTTAGCTGAAACTGTGAAAGTTCAATTCAGCAGAAGCTGCTTTTAGAGTAGTTTGACATTTGAATATGAAGCCTAAGTTGCACATTTCCGAGGTTCACAGAAGTCATGATAGAAACATCGTCCATAGAAGTGAATGAGAGACAACAGATAACATGATTATTAGGTTTCCACAACTTCTCAAAAAGGAAAAGAAACACGGAGAGACTGATTACAGCAGAAAAAGAAATGTCCAATTAACCATCTTTACCTCAGAGCCGTTTTATTACAAACACTTGCGTTCATTAGTTTGTTGGTTTTGTTTTTTGTAAGTTCCTCGTTCAAAAGTTTGGAATCATTTTATGATTATTTAAAATGTTTTTGAAAGACGTCTCTTGTGCTCACCAATGCTCACAAAAACATTAATAAAAATCATAATGACCCCAAACTTTGGACCAGTAGTGTAATTTAATGGCAAGATAATATAACACAAAGTATACGTACATTATTAAAAATGAAAACACATGACTTTGGAAACACTATTGCAGTGAGTAAAAATAGTTCATTCTTTACACTGTCTAATCAACAATGATTATATCTTGATATTAAAATGCATCTCTCTTTGTTGTGAAGCGTCTCCTCAGCAGAGACTCACGACTTTACCTTGTCATTCTGTTATAGTCTCTTGCCTCACAATCTCAGTGTGAGGCTTAACAGGGAAGTTTGCCTGTTCTTCAGTGTGTTTTCTGAGGGAAAAGTAAGATTAAAGTAATTCAGACGAACCACATCAGGGCATTTCAGTAAAATATGCAGTAAATCAATGACACAGAGAGTTTATTAACTGATATGATAAGCAGCAGCATCATCATCAATGCATTACATATATCTGTTCTGTAACATGAACATCTTGATGTACAATACACAATATAAAAGAACGATTTGTGTCAATACTATATTTCTGGTACAAGCAAAATGATTGGAAGGTAACGTTAATTCGGTGACTCAGTGTTTGTTATTGTTTATGAGATAATGGCAGCTAGCATGTTAGCATTGTTTTCATAGCTTTAAACTGATGCTGACTTCACACGCAATCTGAGCGAATACACAGTGAATGCAGCGCCAAACGTTCAGACTAATGTTCACACAATGGAAAACGCATAAATTTCAAACCTGCCTGTTTGTTTCTCTTTCTTCTGCTATGTCTGTATTCAGTATTCAGGCCTGGCTCGGCCGAAACGTTGCTAATGCCAACCAATTATTTCCGGGTCAGCCGAACAAGACGAGCGAGAAGCGCATGCGCGAACAGTGGTACCTGTATTTTTTTTTTAAAGAGATAGTTCACACATAAATAAAAATTAGACCATTATTTAATTTCACTAACCTCCAATCCATCCTACGTGTATATTTGACATTCTTTGTTCGGACGAATACAATCGGAGTAATAATAAAAAATGTCCTGGCTCTTCCAAGCTGTATAATGGCAGTGAATAGCTATTTCTGTTTTGACATCCATAAGAGTGCAACTATCTATCATAAAAGTGCATCTCTCCGTCATAAAAGTGCATCTCTCCATCATAAAAGTGCATCCATCCATCATAAAGATGCAACTATCTATCATAAAAGTGCATCTCTCCATCATAAAAGTGCATCTTTCCATCATAAAAGTGCATCTATCCATCATAAAAGTGCATCTCTCCATCATAAAAGTGCATCTCTCCATCATAAAAGTGTATCTCTCCATCATAAAAGTGTATCTCTCCATCATAAAAGTGCATCTCTCCATCATAAAAGTGCATCTATCCATCATAAAAGTGAGTCTGTCCATCATAAAAGTGCATCTCTCCATCATAAAAGTGCATCTCTCCATCATAAAAGTGCATCTATCCATCATAAAAGTGAGTCTGTCCATCATAAAAGTGAGTCTGTCCATCATAAAAGTGCATCTTTCCATCATAAAAGTGCATCTGTCCATCATAAAAGTGCTATTAGCCCTTTAACTAGCAGAACTTGTTTTGATTCAGTCTATTTGCAAATATGAATTGTGAATGACTCATCATTTTGGATTATCACACACACTTTTAAAACTGTTTATAGTAAATGTATGAATATGTTTCTGTATAGTGTGCCTATAGACAATGAAAGCTCTGATCCAATGATTATTTTGCAGCATCCCTTAAAACTGAGCACTACAGTCTCACATTTATTAGGGTGTTTTAGTAAATATATGTATATATTATGTAATATGTATAAATATATGTTGATAAATATAGGCTAGGCCACTGATGTGTGTTACTGTGTCTGTTGTTTGGGTGTGTATTTCTCAATTGCTAACACTCAGTTTCCCAAACCATTCATTCAGTTCTTAAAACAAAGACACAATTTTCCAAAACAAAACTTATTTCACTTGTCTTCACACACATTACAATTTTCATCATGATTTCTGACACACATGCCCTGATTTTACACAGGTTTAACCATGTTCTCATGATGATCAGACTCTCCACAGTCCACACACACATATACAGAAGAAGAAGAAGACAGACAGAAAAGAAAATAAACAGAGTACATTTTTTCATATTTTACTTTTCCTTAATTTCATAAGCATCCTTTTCAGCTGGAAATAATTATTTCATGAACAACTTTATCAAACGTTGTGAAAGTCCTTTATTTCTTCTAGAGTTCATGATTTCAATGCCTTGTGACCCAATATCTGAAATCTCAGAAAGTGCTTCTTCATCCCTCATCTTCTGCATCACAATTTTCCTCACATTTTGAACTGTGATTGTTTTCCAGCATTATTTTCTCCACTACTAATGTCATTTCCACATCTTCACTCCTTACATTGTTCACAACCAGTTCTGTTATTTCCTTCAAAACCACACGATCCTCAATCTGTTCATTCAGTAATGAACCTGTGTTTGATCATTTCAACTGAGAGATTCTTTTGATAGTAATAATAAAAAATACTTCATTATGTCACTCAAACTGTCTCTATGAGTATTTGATGCACACATTTATACTGTTTTATTTCAGTGAAGTTCATCAGTATTAATGTAATGAAGAGGAAATAAGAGTCTCTATAACATCTCACTGTTACTGGTTTATCGTGCGGCTCAAAGTATTATGGGTAAAATCTCTCTAAATCTGTTCTGAAACATCAACACAGTTTCACTGATGAGCCAGAATAAACATAAAACCCAGGATAGAGCGGCTGAGTGAATGTGGTCTGGACTGTGTGGATGAGGCTCATTGTGTCAGAGACGCTGTAGAAGGACAGAGTTCCTGCACTGTGATCCACACACACTCCTATTCTTCTGCCGATGGGCTTTACAGGGAGATCAGTGCGTATGTTATTGTGACAAAATGAGTAACTGGAGGAAGAGCAGAACAAACTCCAGGACTGATCATTACCTCCAAACACGTGCTCATTACCCGATCCCTTCCTGCTGATGATCTTATATGACACTGATATAAACACACCATCATCTCCAGTCCACTCAATCTCCCAGTAACAGCGTCCACACACACTCTCTCTACACAACACCTGAGGATAACACTTAAATCTGTCTGGATGATCAGGATACGACTGCTCTGTGTCAGTGTGAGTAATAACTCTGTTCCTCTCAGACAGACGGATGTGTTTATTCACTGTGTTCAGATCCGGAGTGAGCTGATGGGAATCTGATGGAGAGAAAACACATCAGAAACAGGAATTATGAATCTGTCTGATCTTTTAATGTCTCTGAACTCTTCATGACTCAATGTTCAATGTATCATCAGTGTCTCAGTACAGATGATCAGATATCCTGAGCAAATCCTCATTTACATGATCAATTATAAAACTCTTCTATCATGATTTATTTCTCCTTCTACAGGAAGAACATGAACACACTCAGTGAGTTTTTCTGCTTGTTTTCTAGTGACTCACATTGTAGGAAGTCGTTCCTGGTCTTGGGATTCATGTTGGTGAAAGTGACTGTGGAAATAAACAGACATGAACAGTGTGAAGAGAAATGACAAGATCAAATACATTCATTTCTAATATAATGCTGTATGATATTAGATGATGGACTCATTTCTGAGAGCTGATGAATAATCTCCAGGGGCTTCATTTATAAAACACACACATCGGATTGATCCGTTCATCCGATTGTTCAGATTTGGGCTCTTTCTCACACGTGTGTATAAAGGAGGCGCAGGACTTTACCTCCGTCTGAGATCTTCTTGATCTCCTCTTTGCAGAAATCCTCCAGTTTGTCTCTCAGCTGACGGACAGATTCTCTCACGCCATCAAAAGAGGAGAGAGAACCGAAGGGAACGTCGGGTTCGTCTGTAGATTCAGGAGGAGCTGAGAGAGACTGGAAACTCTACAGAAAACACAAATCAAAACTCATCATCTCCACACTTCAGCCAATAACCTGCACTATATCAGATCTGTGCGGCTCTTGTAGACTTGACTTCTCTTCAGTGACTCGCTTCAATCCAGCACTTTCACACAATCAGCTCATTTTTAATGGTCCATTTCCCAGGGCTTTGTAAGTGCGTCTCTTTAAACAGAAGATGATCAGATGAGCGTCTGACTGATGATTATATGATAACACAACACTCGACTGAATCTGACTGAATTCCTGACAACATCTCAGTCAACGGCTCATTCTGCTCTCATCAAATGTTTCTCTGTCATAGCAGGATCTTGCTCAAGTCCACTATGATCCTGTTCTCCTAGATCTCTGTTACCTGCAGGAACTGGATGTGATCTTGTGTGTGTGAAAGCTGCTCCAGCTCAGCGTCTCTCCTCCTCAGATCATTGATCTCCTGCTCCAGTCGCTCCAGTCGTCCTTCAGCTCGACTCACTGCAGTCTTTTCCTGATCTCTGATCCGCTGTGTCGCCTCAGAGCGGCTTCTCTCAATGGAGCGGATGATCTCAGTGAAGATCTTCTCACTGTCCTCCACTGCTGTGTGTGCAGAGCGCTGTTACACACACATCACAATCACACAGTGAGTTCAGTGAGTCCAAACTGAGACGTCTCACACTTCTCTTCTTCTCCAGACTCACCTTATGAGACTTCACATCCTCTCTCAGCTGATGAAGATCTTTCTGTCTCTGCTGGATTCTCTGACGGATCTTCATCTGCGTCTCCTTCAGCTGTTTCTGGAGGACAAACCAATGACAGCGAATGATAACACATAAAACTACTGTCACACAATAAGGGTTAAAGATCTAGCATGGCAAGTTTACACTGTAGTTCAAACCACAGATCAGTGAAGTTTGATGTTATTGATGTCATCGTCTTTGATTTGGGCTCTGCGTACATGAGTTGATCAATGATTTGATTTGATTTGTGAATGATCTTTGGCCCTTTAAAAAAATAAGTACTTTTAAAAGTAGCATTTCTTTAAAAATGTGCATGTAAATAATATACTTTAAAACAATATACTTAAGCTTGAACTGAATGTAATGTTTACAGACACAGTATCATGTTAATTGCCATTAAATGAAAATGTATTATAGTTTAAATTTATATTTAAAGCAATTAGCTGACCTTAACAGGGATTTCTAAGTACTTCTTCATATGAAATTTCATAATTACTTCTATTGTTTTTAAAATATCTGTCATTTGTACAGACAAGCATCTGATGATAAACTAAAACATACTGTAATAATGAAGTTGTACATGTATTAACTTTAAATATATCAAATAACACATTACAGGTGTAATCAAGTAGCCTACTTTACATGTCCTTTAGTACGTACACATCAAAATAAGTGCACTTCTTTAAAGCATGGAGCAAAAGAGTCACATTAAAATATTAAAAATGATTAAAAGATACTTTAAAGTAAAACCTTTACAAAGTGTATTTATTAAGTGAAAGAGTCTTGAAAATTTACCCTCTTTAAGTGCACTTAAATGGCCTTTCGTTTCATTAATATTATATTATTCGCAAGTACAGTTTTTTTTTTAAATACACTTTTAATTTGAAGTACACTATAAGTGCAGGTAAATACAATTAATCACAATTTATTTTTAGACCACTAGTGGTTAAGATTACTTTTATGTTTTTTTTTCTTTTTTTCTCATTTTTGGAGCTTGAAACGTGTGTTCCTGGTTGACTCTCAATGTATAGCTAGTAAAATATGTGATCTTCTTCAAAATATCATATTTACAATCTACAGAAGAAAGTAAGTCAAACCGGTTTGGGACAACATGAGTAAATGAGTGAGTAAATAAAGACACTTTCACCTCGGTGTGATCAATATCTCTCAGTTCATACCTGTTTCTCTGTCCTCTGTGCTGCAGTTGATACAGTGTTGTGGTTTTTATGTTCATACTCTTTACACCACACACAGATGCACTGTTGATCAGTGATACAGAACATTTCTAGCTCTTTATCATGTTTACGGCAGATCATGTCCTGCAGTCGTCCAGTGGCATCAATCACTTTGTGTGGTTTACGAGAGAAAAGTTCCTCATGACGGTCAAAATGAGTTTGACAGTAAGACTCCTGACACACCAGACAGGACTTGACGGCTTTGTGTTTTCTTCCAGTACAGACGTCACACTCCACGTCTCCAGCTCCAGCGTAACAGTCAGCAGGAAGTTTAGTCTTCTTCAGTTTCTCCACCAGTTCAGCCAGAATGGTGTTTTTCCCTAAAGCAGGTCTTGGACTGAAGGTCTGTCTGCACTGAGGGCAGCTGTAGACGCTCTTCTCATCCTCCTGATCCCAGCAGTCTGTAATACAGATCTTACAGTAACTGTGTCCACAGTGGATAGTCACTGGATCCTTCAGGAGATCCAGACACACTGAACACATGAACTCATCCTGAGAAAATCTAGCTTCTGCCATTTTACTGAATACAGAGACACAAACACACAACAGCTCAACAACACTTGAGTTTCTGTTTCTCTGAACTGAGGAGTTGAAATGGTTTCCTGCTTGTGTGTTTGAGTGACGTGTGTAAAACAGGGGTGTGTGTAAAGCAGCTTCCTTATTCCTGGTCAATGAGAGTCACTTTACTGCTGCGTTCATGTGTCCTAGTGGAGTCAAACACATTGTAAATACAAGTTCTGTCATGAGGAGGGAGGTGAATCCAGGCGCAGACGGGATGCAGTGACACAAAGTTTATTATAAGCAGAAAACAAAACCCATGAGGGGGCAAAACATGAACAGGAAAAGAAAAGGCAAGACTAGACTAGAACTGATGAAAAACTAGACTAGAACTAACAGTAAACAGGACTTTCTGTAATCAAGACAAGAAAGTTTCTCTCTTCTTTAAGGTTTATTCAAATCCACAAACAATCCACACTGCCAAGCAGTTACATGATTAGGCAGCAGGTGCACTGACATCCATTCTTACTCTACACCTTTTATAGGTAACAACATGTGGACTACAGCGCCATCTCCTGACAAGTACCTATGACAAGACTATTGCTGTGTCCGAAATCACCTATTACTCACTATATAGTGCTCTGCTCTCTACCCCCAACATAGGGGGTAGGGAGTAGTGGTTTGAGAGGAGATTTCGGACACAGCATTTCTCTCAGGACAAAACAGTTGACTAATACTCACAGCGAATAACAATACTCAACAGAGATTCTCAAAGTGTATAACACACTATAACAGATACAACCAGGTAAGTTACTAAATGAACCGACACAGGACAGCAAACACAAGGGGATTAAATAGGGAACACTAATGACGAGGACAGGTGAAGCTGACAAGACAATAATGACAAGATGAGGATAACAAGGGGGCGGGGTTACGTAATGAGACAACACAAGCACATGGCCCAAACAACAGGCCATGCACTTGTACACAAAACAAAATATGGGTCTGCCACTAGACTAGGAAAAATCAAGGGCATGATTAGCCTGGATTCCAGCCCGAACTCCGCCCACAACATTTTTTGGTCGGGAAGTCCATCGGTCTCGATCCATTGAGGAGTAATTATGATAAGACAAGAAACGTTCGGGCCAATCAAATTGCCAGGGCGGGCTTTATACGATGATGGACAGGTGATCTGCAAGGACGTAATCATCACGTTATCATAGATCGCTTTAACTGGTTTCCCTGCAGAGATGGAAAATTGAGATGTATAGATTCCGCTGTCGCGTCTGTTGTGAAATATATCGACAGCACATTCATTTTAATAGACGAACAGAAAACTGCAATCAAGGCATTTGTCGATCGGAAAGATATTTTTGCCGTCTTTCCCACATGATTCGGTAAAAGTGTAACTTATCAGCTGGCTCTGACGGTCGCTAAGAAGATGGGACGTAATGAAAAGCCTGTGGTCGTTGTGGTTTCTCCTTTGGTCGCACTCATGAAGGACCAAGTAAAAGAAGCAACACTCGTTATTTTACTTCTAAAATAAGTAAAGTTAGGCTACATTCTGTAGTTGACAACTGTATGCAAAGTAGCTGACTTACTGCGTTGCTCTGATTGGTTGTAGGTTTACCGACTATCCAATTGAGTGCAGAGTTGTTGTTTTTCCTGGTTCGGTTACGACACGCCTCATGATCAAAGATCTACGGAGGAGTTTCAGACTCATATTGTGACAAGAATATGAGTATGACGAAGTCAGGCTAGGGCGTGATGGCAGAATCATGACAAAACACATGAATAAACCAATCAGTTCAATTCTGCTTTACGCAGTAAATCCAGTGTGAATTTTTATGACTCAGTTCCATCCGTGTTTGGGCTTTACTTTCAGTTTTATTTGTGGTAGTTTGCATGTTGGCTTGATGAAGAGATTCTCAGCGTTGAAGAGATTCTCGAGATTCATGTGTTGCATATCTGGCTATAACATGTCATAAAGCCTATAACACGCTATTACATGTTTATTTTGTAGCATTGTTGGGAGGAGTAAAATTTACCCAGATCACTTCCTGAAGTGGTTCGAACGATCGGATTTAAATCCATCTCGAAGGGTATTTACACCTGGTCTTTAGCTATACAATCACAGAAAATGCATGAAGGGACCAGCTGTAAACAGGCCCAAAAAAACAGAGCAATCCACATTACAAGCACTCAGGATAGTTTATGTAACCCGACTACTTAGAACATGCAGGACTTTTACCCTTGTGATACAGAAGTAACAGACATACACAGAAATCTTATAAAAGCACAGAATTAATTTAAATAGCAGTATAAAAATTATATGCGGTAGTATGCATGACCAAGAAGGCGGCAACACACAGAATAAATGTAGCTTACTAGCAGTCCAATGGCTAACACCGATTACTCTAAGGAGTCTAACACAGCACACAATCACATGTAAGATTTACACAACTAGGTCAAATAGAAGGTATAACAACGTACAGGTGTAAGCACTACAAAATAAACATCAAGAGATATAATTCTTCAACTACATTAGTTCAATCAATAGTAGCCTTCAAAATATTTTAATCCATTGTGGATGATGACATGGTCAGTTGACAAATAAAACATAGGCGAGCAGCCACAATAACTATCCCACTAAGCCAAGGGAAATGCCAACAAGCAAAATCTAACAGTTATATGCATTTAGCAGAGTTTCATGAAACGCGGTCAACAGTCCTTCGCTCGCGACCCCGCCCACTCCACGCTTGTAGTGCACAGGGAAGAGGGCTAACGGCGAGAAAGCGGTAATCTGCAGTTGCACAAACAATTCATGGCTTTGGACAATTTCCAGTAGCCTAAACTGCAAATGTCACAGTCCTCCGTCTGCACCAGTCTGTCTCGTCATCTGCACTACACCTCCCCGGATCCTTTTGTTTCTACTCCCGGACTCACTCCCCAATCAGCCACCTGTTCCTCGTCCTGTCATCATTATTTTCACCTGTTTGCACATCGTTTAGTTTGATTCCTCTGTGTATTTAGTTCCTTCTCATTCAGTCTGTCTTTGTCGGTCGATGTTGCATGTTACCCGGTGTACCCCGTCTTCCTGCCTGTATTTTTGTATTAAAGGTATCTTCATTGTGACTCTGGAGTCCTCCAGTTCCTTCTGCCTGCTCCACACCCGTGACAGATCGACCGACCAAGACTGCAACATGAACGCAGTGGCTTTTCGGGGGATTCTCTACCCGATTCTGCGACCCCGGTTATGTCTCGTCCCCCGGAAACCTGCGTTCACCGTCAGCCCTACCGAGTCTGCGCTCACCGTCAGCCCTGCCGAGCCCGCGCTCACCGTCAGCCCTCCCAAGCCTGAACTCCCCTCATCGCTGGTTCCGTCCAGCTCTCCAGAGCCTGAACTCCCCTCATCGCTGGTTCCGTCCAGCCCTTCTAAGTATGAACTCTCCGCCCCGCTGGTTCCGTCCAGCCCTCCCGAGCCTGAACTCTCTCCCCTGCTGGTTCCGTCCAGCCCTCCCGAGTCAGATCTCCCCTCTCCGCTGGTTCCGTCCAGCCCTCCCGAGCCTGAACTCCCCTCACCGCTGGTTTCGTCCAGCCCACCCGAGCCTGAACTCCCCTCACCGCTGGTTCCATCCAGCCCCTTCCAGCCAGCGCCTGTGACCGTCCAGCCAGCGCCAGTGACCGTCCAGCCAGCGCCAGTGACCGTCCAGCCAGAGACCGTCCAGACCGTCCAGCCAGAGACCGTCCAGACCGTCCAGCCAGAGACCGCCCAGACCGTCCAGCTAGAGACTGTCCAGCCCGTCCAGCCTGAGACCGTCCAGACCGTCCAGCCAGAGACCGTCCAGCCTGAGACCGTCCAGACCGTCCAGCCAGAGACCGTCCAGACCGTCCAGCCAGAGACCGTCCGCTCCCCATCTGCCCTTCATCCGGGGACTCAACCCAAATATTTTTTTGGGGGGGGGGCCCAGTGTCCCAGCCACGGCCGCCCGAAGGGACCTCACCGCCATGGCCACCCGAAGGGACCTCACCGCCATGGCCGCCCGAAGGGACCTCACCGCCATGGCCGCCCGAAGGCTCTCACCGCCATGGCCGCCCGAAGGGACCTCACCGCCATGGCCGCCCAAAGGGACCTCACCGCCGTGGCCGCCCGAAGGGTCCTCAACGCCGCGGCCGCCCGAAGGGTCCTCGCAGCCTGCTCCGCCCTGGCCACGCCTTCAGCCTGCTCCGCCCTGGCCACGCCTTCAGCCTGCTCCGCCCTGGCCATGCCTTCAGCCGGCTCCGCCACGCCCTCAGCCTGCTCCGCCCTGGCCACGCCTTCAGCCTGCTCCGCCACGCCCTCAACCTGCTCCGCCCTGGCCACGCCCTCGTCCTGCTCCGCCCTGGCCACACCCTCGTACTGCTCCGCCCTGGAGGCTTCCTCCTCCAGTCCACGCCCTCCACAGCCTCCAGGGCGCCCACCCCCCCTCCCCATTGATGTTACGGCGTGAAGTCACGCCTACCGGGAGGGGGGAGTGATGTCACAGTCCTCCGTCTGCACCAGTCTGTCTCGTCATCTGCACTACACCTCCCCGGATCCTTTTGTTTCTACTCCCGGACTCACTCCCCAATCAGCCACCTGTTCCTCGTCCTGTCATCATCATTTTCACCTGTTTGCACATCGTTTAGTTTGATTCCTCTGTGTATTTAGTTCTTTCTCATTCAGTCTGTCTTTGTCGGTCGATGTTGCATGTTACCCGGTGTACCCCGTCTTCCTGCCTGTATTTTTGTATTAAAGGTATCTTCATTGTGACTCTGGAGTCCTCCAGTTCCTTCTGCCTGCTCCACACCCGTGACAGCAAATGGCCAGTGGGGAAACCGGGACCGTTGATCCGAGCTGCGAAACAGGGGAAGGGAAATCAGTTCTAAACAGATCCACGTCACTGCCCACTCATTCGTAAGTGATACGAATTGTTGATATTGAATACGGTTGATATCGTAGACCTTTAGCTGCCAGGAGTCAATCGAGATGGTAGTCATTGCGTGGAGTCATACATCCAAAGATTCATAGGCACAGACACAGTCGGGGTTTTTGTGTTTTGACGTCTG